CAGATCTCTAAATCTTTTTTACATTAATCCTTTCCAAAAAACCAAGAATTAAAAAAAAAAAGAACAACAACAAAAAAAAAAAGGAACTATAAGACAACCAGTGTAATATCGGACCAATAAAACATCACATTGATTTGAACCCCTAGAAAAAAAAAAAGAATTAAAATCTCTCTCAAAAACAAGCTAATGTAGTGGAAAGACTTATCATTGTTGTTTCAGAATAAGTGCTTCAGTTGGCAGGAGTTTAGCCTATAAACTGCTGGTGCCACCTTGGTAAAGTTGGTTCCGTACATAAGAAAACCACTTCAATTCCCCACCCGAGTGTGCTAATGGCACCAGGGTTCAGAGTTAAATTGCACATTGTTGCTTTTAGACTTTAAGATGTCATTTGTTTAAAAAAACAAACAAACAAACAAAAAACCGGAAAGGAAAAACGGAGATAAATTATGCTGCAAAACAAAATTAAACACAGTAACAGAACTACGTAATTACTTGGCAAGGAAACGGGAGCCAAGTTGAATAAGGGCAAGTGGGGGGCAATGGAAGTGGTAACTGTAAAAATAACTGTCTCTTGCTGAAGATTGGCAATATGTTCTTCCTTAACCCCCCTTGTGGAGGACACATTTGCTCATGGGACTTACCCTAAGAAAGCTAAAATAAGAGCAGTAAGCGCCTGGGGTTAAGATCAGTAAGGTTTGCTGTCGTTTTTGGAGCGTTTCAGCTGGACCTTCAAGCGTTTCATGCCAATCTGAAAGCCGTTCATAGCCTGGATAGCAGCTTGCGCAGAGACTGGATTGTCGTAGCTAACGAAACCTGCGGAGCACAAAATGGAAAGGGGATAGAAAGGGAAATTGGGGTTAAAATTAAATTCACTGGAGTATGGAGTTGGCTGTTCACATTTTTTAAAGGATCACATTCACCCCCCACTTCCCAGTATTCCCTTGATTATTCTCTGTAGACCTTCCCTCCGAACCCTTGTTGGCTCTTCCTTTACCTTACTAGCATTCAGCACTTTGCTACCTCACTGCTTGGTAGCTGGGATGCCAACCGAAGCACTTGGGGGTGAATGCCTTTTTTAGAGGCGTTTGGTAGGGAGCTACATGGTATTGGAGTATGTTAGGTGCCCCTCCACACTCCAATGTTGTAGGCTGAGTATTGCCTAGTAAAGCAGGAAAGTACTATTATCTCCAGATAACAACTGGGAAACTGAGGCATGGAGTGACTAGGTTGCAGACCCACAAAAGTATTTTGGTAGCTAACTGTCAAGGATTTCAAATACTGAATAGTATCGAAGATCTGGGCCTCTGTCTGTGGCAGAGAAGGAATTAACTCCAGGTCTCTCCGGGTTCTTCTAACTTTGCATTTCTATAGCACTTTTCAGGGTCTTGACACTGCAAACATGAATTAATTCAGCTTCAAAGCCCTGGGACTCTAGGCTTAAGTGGCAGCAAAACAATAGCAGAGGTGGACATCTTCTGCCTCCTCCTTCTGAGGATTAACCACTAGAAAGTGCTCTCTCCCTGTAATTCACTCTGACTGGGCTGGCGTGTATTCTTGCCTCCTCAAGACTGAAATCACTTGGTTCATAATAGACTGAAATCTCTCTGATCCTAGGGGCTGCACTCAATTTTCCTATCTGTGCATCCCACTCTTAATTGTACAGCACTCCGAACTGCCAGTCTGCTTCTGCTGCCGTTAATTACTGTATTCCAACCTGGTATTATGCATGCATCTGCTCTGAAAAGTGCCCTTTTCTTTCCATTGGAATTTGTCTTAACAATTTCTTCTATATTAGATTAGATTAGATTACCCATCGCATCCTCTTCCATCTCTCTGACAGTGACACTTAAATGTCTCACTTCCCCTCCTCTATTAAGCCACCCACAATCCCGTCTCTCATGACTTCCATGTACTCCTAATTTTGCCCCTCTTATTTTTCTTCTTAATATCTCACTGCTGTCTCATTCCTACTGCTTCCAATATCAACTAGCTACGGTTTCTCCATTTCAGAAGACAAAGACAAACCGGTGCATGTCCCTGGGCTGCCCCCCTGTCTTTCTTTTGTCGTTCATCTTTTTATCATTGGCCATGCCGTTTGTAAGCATAGCCTCAGGTTTCACCGCACCCCCTGCCACAACTCGATCCACTCCACCCTGACTTCTGTGTTTTCCACTCCCTAGAAACTGCTTATGCCAAAGCATCTTCCCAAGCAACACAGTGGCAGAAAGAGATCTCAGAGTCATAGTCGACTCCAAGATGAACATGTGTGATGAAGTGGTCAGTAAAGCTAACCGCCCTTTATTGTGCATCAGCAGGTGCATCACGAACAGATCCAGGGAGGTCATACTTCCCCTCTATGCAGCGCTGGTCAGGCCGCAGCTGGAGTACTGCATTCAGTTTTGAGCACTGCACTGCAAGAGGGATGTGGATAACCTTGAAAGGGTCCAGAGAAGGGCTACTCAGATGGTTAGGGGTGTGCAGGATAGATAGGTCCTACGAGGAGAGATTGAGGGACCTGGATCTCTTCACCCTCTGCAAGAGAAGGCTGAGAGGGGATCTTGTGGCCGCCTACAAATTCATCGGGGGAAGCCCTGGTAAAAAGAGCATCTCCTACCCCTCGCTCTTTTTACCAGGGCACCCCATGGAGTAACTAGGAACAATGGCCACAAACTGATGGAGAGCAGATTTGGGTTAGACATCAGGAAGGACTTCTTTACGGTCAGGGTTGCCAGCATCCGGAACGGGCTCCCAAGGGAGGTGGTGCTCGCCCCTACCCTGGGGGTCTTCAAGAGGAGGCTGGGCAAGCACCTGGCTGGGGTCATGTGACCCCAGGGCTCTTTCCTGCCCAGGGCAGGGGGTCAGACTCGATGATCTACTAAGGTCCCTTCCGACCCTAAAAATCTATGAAATGTGTCACACTCTTCTTAGTCAAACCTCAGCACCTCTCCTCTAGCTGTATTCTCCCTGACTACTTCTGAGGTGGTTTGACATAAACTCCTTAAAATGTTGTCCTCAATTTTCATTCTGTCCTTTTCTTGTCCTTGTCGTGTGATCACTTCATTAGCCTCTCATAGTGCCTCCTCCTCACAGGACTCCATCTTCCCTCTCCCTTTCTCCTCCCTCTTCATCCTTGCTGTAGATCTTTCTGCCCATATGGGTTCCAACTATCAGCTTTCTGCTCACAAATTTACTCCTCTGCTCTTCACCTGGGTCTTTATATCTACTCATATTGCTTAGACTATTTCTCTGATATCTCATCAGAAGCTCTGTTAGCACTTTAAAGCTGAAGAAGGTCAAAACTGAGCTCCTCTTCTGTCCAAAACCTTCTTCCCTCCTATCTCTATCACTACCTTTCCATGGCCCTCAAGCCCATGACCTGGGTGGGGCCTTATGTTCTAGTGGTTAATGAGAAGGTTGATATTCAAACCTGCTCCATCCTTGGACCATCTCTTGAGGTAGACATAGCTATTAGTGCAAATGGTTTCTGATAAGGAGTGGAATATTTCTTTTGGGGCAGGGTTGAATATAAATTATTTCCCTGTTTTACTTTGTTGAGCTGTCATTGCAAGTACCATGCTGTTGATTAACATGGCTTGATTTGACCTGGTGTCATGATTCCCAAAGGCTCTGGTCAAAATTATTTTGCTACTCTCACACTACTTGAATAGATCAAATGTGTCTGAAGATCAACATTTTTATTTCCATTAGTTGGGCTATTTCCATTTTTACTATAGCCATGGAAGTGGACATTTTCATAAATATCATGTTCTTTGTCCCTGGTATTTTTATTATATTTAATTTCTGATATTTAACTTTTATGAAGCTTGAACAGGACACCTCAACAAGGACCTTGGAACATGAAGGTCTGGGCGTGGAGTAACATAAAATAGTACTTTCTGGTCCTTCCAAAGCTAACTAACTAAGGACTTATCAATACTTGCATGTTGATGTGGGTTAATATAGGGTTTGAATTTAAAGCATATAGCTATTTCTGAATAATGTCATGTGTCATCCTTCAGAGTTAGTACCTTATTTCTGCTTAGATTAAACCAATTTGAAAGGCTGTGGCTGTAAAACACAAGAAGCATTCCTGAAATACTCTTAGATGTATTTTACCAAAAACCATGATTTAAAAAGTACATCTAAGGCAAGCAAACAAACACATGGGCTATGGTTTATGGGAGCCCTTTAGAAATAAGAAAAAAGATTGAGGATGATGAGATGTGAATGATACCATTGCCAGTGCACTGGATTTTTGGATTGGTTCATCTAACAAAGAGCAGCTTTCCTCTGGTTGGGCTACGGGTTGCTGCACTTAGAGGTTGCAATATAACAGGGACAACTTTTATAGACTGGTGTTACTTGTAAACATGTTTTCATCACAGACCCTGATTAAGTGCTTTACTTCATGTAAGAACTATTAGCCTAATGCTGATGAGAAGTGGTTATTTACTTGCAGTTAGTAATAAAGTATATCAAAGCATTAGGCCAGTAAATTTACATTTTCAAGGGACTGGCATGCAGCTGATCAGCTCTAGAACTTCCACATGGGTCTAAATATTGCCCAAACGCTTGCTATTCTCAACCTTGGCAGTCTAATTTCCTTGCAGGTCAAAGACTCTCTAGGAAACTTGACACCGATTCCTCTGCCCTAGCTTAACAGTCCACTGCCTGATACAGTGCACCCTACTTGTACTTCTCATAGCTGCATCTATAGACAGCAATTATCTGTCAAGTGTTCAGTGCTACATCTATGTAAATGATACAGACACTAATGGCAGCATCTTGCACTTAACCCAAAGGAAAGGATTTCCTGTAATGTAAAAGTAATGGGTTAAACACAGAGTTTTACAGAGATTCAGCTATACAAGAGAGGATAATTAAGTATCCATAATGAGGCAGCTTAATAGTATAGGGAATGACATTCCTCCACATAAGGTGTAATTAGTTGTGTATTCCTGACACATCCAATGTAGATGTTAGATTGGAAGATCTCCCCCCCCCCACCCCCTCAGTGTAATTTTTAGTTTGAATTGGTTTATCTGTGCTTTTTTTTCCTCTCCCTACATTTGAGGATTCAAAGCCACTGCTGTGGGAATGAGGTTCCAGTTTGACATTTTTCACGTTGCCATTAATTTTTCATTCCAACCGCTTCTCCGTCTACCGCGCATGGATTGATTAAAGTTTTGCATACCAAAGCACTTGCTCAGATTAGTCTGTTTGTCAATGAAGACTTTAGCAGAGATAACATTTCCGAAAGGCATGAACATCTGCAGAATGTCCTGGTCTCCAAACTCCTGGGGGAGATGGTAAATAAAGAGGTTTGCCCCTTCTGGACCTTTAGAGAAACAAGCACAGCATGAAAATGTTTATTAGGGGTTTTATATTTTATCCAGCTTTCTTGACAATATTTCTAAGGGGGCGATGGGCAAAAACATTTCAGTTGCAAACATTTTGAAGTAACAAACTGCATAAAGTAGTCAAAGTAGAGTTGAAAGGCAGGTCCTTTATAGAAGAGCTGCCCTTGTCTATGTTCTTTACTCAGTATTGCTGCCAAAGGAGAAGTCGAAGTGCAGTCTCCTTCTTAAATTTGCATAAGTGTCTTAAATGGGAGAAAAAAAGACTGCATGAAAGTGGCAGCTTCTTCCAATATCTGCTCTCTTCAGCTCTTCAAGTTGTATAGCTGTGTGCTGTGCTGCCTCCCACATCCTCAACTATTGTGTCAGCTAAATTTTATTTGTAGAGATTAATGTAAGAGCTACGAAGAGCCGGGTTTAGTTTCTGAAGATCTCAGGTTTGAGTCTGTAGCACAGGCTTCTGGGTGCTGGGGGTCAGGGCACAAAACGCCTTCTGATTTGCAAATTGATTTGCCATGGAAATCATTGAGAGAAGATAAAAATAAGAACTCCTGAGAGTGAATATGTAGTTACTTCCCAGATACATGGATTCTTGTAACAAAAGCAAGAAAGCAAGAAAGAAGGGAAATGACAGTTGGAAAACCTCTCATCTCGAGACAGGAAATGCTGCCAAATATATTTACAAAACCCTAAAAAACCCCTGAACCGTTCTTTTAACAAGCAACAACAAACGCAGTTCTTGTGAAACTCGAATGTTTTGTGAAAACTTTGGGAATCTCAAAAAAATTTCAATTTTTGAACAAAGGCATGCAAAGGAATATTTTTTTTGCTTTATTTTGAACAAAAATATTTCCCTTTCAACTGAATTTTGAGATTTGTGTGTTTGTGAACCACTTGAAATATTTTTTCCACAGCTCAGCCCTAAAAATAGGATCACTGATCCATTGTATCCATGGAAAACTAAGATGCTACTTGGTTCTGGTGCAGCCAGACTCTGGAGTGGTCTATATGGATATTCTCTAGTTCGATGGCCGGCAAACTAAATGTGACCTAAATGTGATGTGCTTGGTTACTGCCTAGGGAAGGAGAAGAAAGTACAATCTCAATACTTCTGCAATACTTCCTGCAGCGGATTCATAGAGCCACGCTGGTGTTCCCATTAGAGGAACTGGACTACCTGCCCTTCCGCAGCCTGATCAAAAGGGGAGCATACATTGGAAAGGAAAAAGAGAAATAGGGTAGAAAATAAAACAAAATGAAAAAAAAAAAAACCAAAATGGCAGGAGGGAAGGAAGCCAGAAGAAGTTTCTTCTGACTACAAATAAGGTGTCCTTTTAACGAACCAAGCTAGACAGACTGAACCTAGATCTAAAGAAAAATGCCTAGGGACCTACCTAAATCAGGGTGACTGATGTCTGATTTTGCCGTCTGCGTGTGGCACCCGGTGCCATTTTTGTGGTGGGGTGTGGTGGCCCCCTCCCCGCCATGACTCTGATTGGCTGAGGGGGCCCAGAAGTCTTGCTCCTCCTCAGAGATTGACAGATGGCCCCAAACTGGGACTTGCTAATGCATCAATTAATAGCTTACACGGGCTTAATCTCTTGACACATTATTAAGTGGTCTAGGATGAGGTTAATGGCTTCTGCGGGCTTGATGAAGCTCGTGGAAGCCATTAACTGCGTAATAGACTGCTTAATAATGCATCAATTAATGGCTTCCGTGGGCTTGATTAGGGGATTAAGCTTGTGGAAGCCATTAATTGATGTGTTAGCAAGTAGTCTAGGATACGGTTAATGGTTTCCATGGACTTGATCACATGCCAGGAAAGGAGGCAGCTCCTCACACAGAGCTACTGAAACACATGGGTGCCCCGGTGGGCAGGCAGGCAGGCAACACTGGGCTGGGCATTTGCAATGCAATGCAATCCCCCCCAAAAAATCAAAGTGAAAAAAAGAAGGGGGAGGCCAGGCTTCTTTGCAAGCTCCTGGGCTGGCCCCTAAATGGCTCATGGACTCAGCTCATGTCAGGGTCCGTCTCTGATTTGCTCCCTCTCCCCTTCCCCCTCCCTTTCTCTCTCTCTCCCTGCCCCTGGCTTCAGGATGCCAAGGTTTCCTGAACTCTTCTGTTTTGCAGCTCCATTTTTTTTTCTTTTCCCCTGCTCGCTTGCCGTTTTCACGCCTTTTCACGGTTCCCACACTTTTACACAGAGACCAACCGAATTTGTGGTTTTCATGAAAATTGTGACATCACAAATTTGGTAGGGCCCTAAATATGAATAATGCAGTTTTCTGAATGTCAGCATTAATGTTTAATGCAGTATTCTTCTCTGGTATATGGCTCTCCCCCTTTCATATTTAACACACAAAATGAAGGCAGCAGAACTTAATAATGAAATGTTCACTTAAAATGTACCAACTGGAAAAAAACCACAACTTAGATGACAAAGGCTAGAACTTTAAAGGGGCATTGCCCTGCAGGCTAAATTAACACAACCTGCTAGTGTTAGAAACACTTCATGAACTTAAAACCAATGAAAACCATTTAGAGAAACAAAAAAAGTCTCCCACATGAATTTTTTTCACCATCCAAACTGAGTGACATGTGAAAGTGAGCAGCAGATAGCAAAGAAACGACAAATATACATTTATTAAGAAATCTTTTCAGTTTCAATAATCTAATTTTTTATGTCCCTGTACCCTAGCTTGGGGTTCTCCATTTCACCTGGAAGGTGTCCTCTTGAAATAGTGCAAGAGAATTTTAAGGGTGGTTAATCTTCGGATGCCCGTAAAATAGCTTATTTCTGAAGCTCATCCCTGGCAAGAACAGTAATGACAATGAAAACTTTCTTAGAAGCCATATAAAACTTTTCCACCCTTGTAGTATTTCCTTGAAGTTAGGAGGAGAAAAAAATCCTAAATACACCCCTCCCCAAAACCTCAAGGTATCTGCAGAGAGAGAGAAGCAGTGCCTTATTTCACTAAAGATCTTGCCATTAGTATTAATTTATTTTTGGTGTTAACTTCCTGAGGTTTATTTTGCTCTATTGGCACAGGGAGGGGGCAATCAATCACTTGTTTGCTTCCTCGCAAGATCCACAATTAAGCAAATAACCACTCAGTGTAACGATGGATCTTGTCATTAACTTGGAAACTAACTTAAATAAGAGAAGTGACATGATCACAGCACATGGAAACCCGAAGAGAGGAAATTCACCTACTCAACCCTTTTCCCCCTCTGTGTTACTCCTAGCAACAACAACACACATGCTTTAGACATTATTCTTGTTATTGATGCCTATTATGACTCACCAGTGAGTACACTTATATTAATAAATAGGGGAAAGTAAGACAAATTCTCAAGGTTGCAATGTCAAAATTAAACTAAAATATAAAATAAAATGTGAGAACAAAGAAAAAGGAAAAGAAAAATCAGTGGTTAGGCTAATCCGGCTTTTGGAAAAAAAACATCTACGGAAATAAAAGCCCAAACCAAACTGAGTTAAATGGGCTGAAGTTACTTTGATAGAGTTGCTATATTAAGTAGTGGAACAATAATCTGCTACTTGAGATGTTTGCTTTGTTGTCTCACCTTCCTTCTGGCTGCCTGCAGCACTTTGTTGCTGTAACAAGCTCTGACTGTACAATGTTGGCAGTGCCGCTGCAGCATACTGCTGAATTCCTGAGTAGGCCTGGGTGAGGGCGTCCATTGTGCCGGCTGTACCATTCGTCAAGCCTGTAGCGCCGAGTCCTCCATTCAGGGCCGCCATACCTGAGAGCATTTGAGCAACTTTACAAAAAACCCAACAATAGAGAAAAGAAATTGCACTTGTTCATTAGTGCTTTCCAAAAGTAGTTGGCATTATATGACACCGACAACGACAGCAGTGCATGCAATTCAGCACTTCACCAGATGGGACTCAGAACAAAGAAACACCACTTTGGTAGAGATCACTTTAGCACGATGGTTGGACGACCAGACTGATTTGCATGCAACCTGCTACTGGCAAGTACGGTAAACTTTGTGCCTCTGAAATTCTGCCCTGACTTCTGTTTCAGCATGCCTACCTCTGTCGTCAAGTACGCCGAGGTACCTGAAAGGCTGATCACGGGAATCCTGGTAAGTGACTCGAGTGCTAAGCACGGCACTTGATCAACTCTACCCGCTGGTTTGCATGTGCGTTAAACAATAATATCATTTGTTTACAATGGATACTTTTCCTAGAGTCATAATTAGGCTGTCCACCACAGCAATAAACGCTCAACTGTTTACAGTATCTGCTAGTGCATTGACATTATTCAGTCCAACAGTGGCTCCTTGAAGAGGACCCAGGGAAGTCAAAGCAGCGAATGGAATCCACTTGACTGGAATCGCAGTAAGTGATAGGTGGCTCTCAGGATAGGAGACAGTGGGCTTGGACAGGCTTTTAGTTTCTCCAGGGAGAGTTCCTACTCTCTCCAGAGATACCACAAGCATATAGAAAGACTTTCATAATTTTTCTCATAATTTGGGAGGAAAATAACTTGGGAACAACCTAAGTGAAGTGGCTCTCCAGAGAGCATCTCTTGTTAGACAAAACTTCTGTACAGACAGCAGATGAAGAGCTGATCTGTGCAACCCCAACGTGATTTGCTTCACTCTCCTCCCCTCTCACACAGCGTGTGTCAGGCTCAGCCAAGCGGGGAGCAGAACACCCCCCCAAATGCTTTGTAGCACAGAAGCGCTTAAGGGGCATGTTCTGCCTAGGGTGGCCACTGACCCACCCCCAGAATACAGGATATTGGGAAAGGGATGGTGAGGGGCAGGGCCACTGCCTCCTTGGCCAATCAGCAGCGAGGAGTGGGGCCACCCGGGTCCCTTGGCCAATCAGCATCAAGGGGCAGAGCCACCACAAAAAGGCTCCCTCCCTCCCTGTTTGGCTCTGAACCCTGCTCCTCCTGGCTGTGTACAGCCCTGCCTCTAGGCACAGCTAACAATATCACGAGGTGAAGTGATTGACATGTTTTTCCACCGCAGAACTGAAAAAACAGGACTTTCTGTAGTCCATACCTCATTTAGAAATGGACAAGGGACAAAGGGTTTACAAACAGGATGATTTGGTATAAAACAGACCCAACAGCTACCCGAGGTTTGTTCCTGGCTTGGTCCCTGCCTGACTCACACTGCATCACTTGGATGCAGGGAAGTATGGAAGCATAATACTTCCAGCCCAGCCTTAGCTGGGCTCCACCACAGCACCAGAGAGGAGAAAGGGTGGAGGACTCTTCTGTGAATGGCACAGACCCCGCCCGCACCCTCCCTGACCCTGCCAATGCCTGCCTCCATTGACCTGAAATAAAGCCTTCGAAGCTCTCTGGGCTCTCTAGGGATTTCTGGCAGCCCAGGGTCCACACTGCAGGCTCTTTGCTTCTCTGTCTGAACTTCTGTACAGGTTAGTTTTTCTCTCAGGAAAACATAATTTCATAGATTCATAGTTTCATAGACAACTTGGGAGAGTTGTTCTGGATGATTCGATCATGTTTACGCAGCCAGTGATTGCCGGGATGCACAATTCACATTTGATCAGGGTCATGAGCAACTAGACATTACCATTATATACCATTACCATCCACAGTCCCAAACAAAACATTGCTACAGCAACATACCCTCCATCCGGTTGCTCACTGCAGGAAGATGGCCCACAAAATTGAACAGTCAGAGAGACAGGGCTCTTTTCTCATTCCTGTTACTGTCCAGGATTGAGAATACATGGCAGTCTTTTACACTGTCATGTGAATTGTGTATTTTCTGGAGATAAAGACAACTATTCATTCTTTGGCACTTCTGCTCCTTTCCTTCTCATGGAGTGCATCTACATGTGCACATTTACTGCACAGTAACTGAAATAAATGCACAGTACGGGTGTGTATCTACACATAGTGTGCATTTACACATACACGCCCATACTGCTCAGTAAATATGGTGATGAATGCTGACTTGAGCATAAATTTGATACCTGCATCATCCAGGTATCAGATTTACACCCGATTAGTTACTGCATAATAATGCATGTGTAGATGCCCTACTATGCAGTAACACTGTCTGCGTGTGGACTGACTTGGGACTAACTTTAGTCTCAAGTCAGGCCACGCACAGTGTTAATATGCGTTAATGCCTGCACATGTAGACACCATCCTATTCCTGCTTACTGTGCAGTAAATTTAAGCCAGCGTAAATGCATGTGTAGACAAGCCCCCTGGCAGTAAAACAATACCAAGAACAACAACCAAAAAGCCCATTATTCTCCACCCTGTAAAATGGACACACTACCTAGAATCACCAGGATGACTGCTAAAGAAGAAATTTGGGGCAAGGGCTCCATACTGTCGTCCGGTGCACCCAGTCTACATTAAAATGCCCATGAAATTCATTTTACATCTATTAATTAGTGGTTAACAGCATGAACTTCCTGTGATGCAGTCTTTCACAACACTTGTCTTCGCCCTTCTCTTCCCTTCCCTCTTATGGCAGCTAGCCAAGTTTCATGGAGCTTAAACTATTTCAATTACGCATTGTATTATATATTTTTACAGCAGTTCATGAAATAAAAAGGCAATTTTCTCCCTGAATTTACTTATAGGTCCTTTAGCAAGCTTAAAGGCAATAGGTTGGGAAGCACTTAGAGACTGGTAACTAAAACGACTGAAAGAACTAACAGCTTGATTTTCAGAACAGCTGATCATCTACCACTACAACTTAAGTCAGTGAGTTGCAGGTGCCCAACACCACTGAAAATCAAGCCATTTTTTCATAAGTACCATATTTATGTGCATACCACATGCACCTTTCCTCCCCAAAAATATCAGCACAGGGGGAGTGTCTCTTAAGTATGGAGGCTAATTTTCTGTGCTCAAAATAGAAGCATGGAGTCACTGGCAGCTTCTCTCTGGGACAGCAAGTAGGAGGGGTGGAGTCCAGTGTTAACCCCTTCACAGCTGGCAACAGTTTTTGGCTGAGCAGCCAAATGAGCAGCCAAAAACTGCTGCCAACTTGACAGTAGCTGTAAAAGTGATAACACTTGACTCTATCCCTCCTACTTGCTCAATCAGAGAGAAGATGGCAGCCATCTTGCAACATATCCTCTCTATGAAAGAGCCAGTTCTAGGCCATGATCCTTAAAAAAACCCGAAACTTTGCCTTCCAAAACACGGTGCCTATCTTATTTACGGGGTATGTTATATGTGAGAGACAATATGGTAACTAGTAATCTTAAGTACATAAGAATATCTGAACAGGGCCTTTTAAAATCAAGTTGCTATAATGCATCTCTTACAAAAGCACACAAAATTACTAGCTACTTATTAAGATTTATGTTGTGATGAGTGCCTTAGCAAAACTTTGGGTAAAGGGGAAAGTGAGATCCTTAAAGTATTTAAGGACTGTAAATGCAAGGAATAGGAGAGGGGAGTTATTCAGCATCGTAAAAAGGGGAATACATAAATTGAAAAAGGTGATGACATTAATCAAACAGTACTTTATGGTTAAGGTCAGGAAAAATTAACAACGAAATGGGTTAGACTGTGCAACTGTCTTCACCAAGGGAAGTGTCACAAACCCTATCACATGAGCAATTTAAAGATGGAGAGCCACTAGAAAGAGAATAATCCTACGTTGACAAAGGAGGATAAAGATGATGACCTGAAAGTTCTTTACTACCTCTTATGCAGATTCTAACAATGAGACTAATAATCAGGACAATTGCTCAAGTGGCAACTTCTTGGTACCACTAAGGTCTGTGTCAATTAAGAGGCCTTTACTGTATAAATTACACCTTTTGATAGTAGGATAATTTGTGCAACTAACACTTGACAGAGAAGTGATATTCCACAGCCTTTGCTTAATAAAATGTCCTCACTTGGAAGCTCTAGAACTTGGAGGAGCGGAGAGAGGACAGTGCTGTATTTTGACATGAACTACACTGCACAACATGAATTACAGAGCTAAGGCCTTGACAAGAGTATAAAATTGCCAGATACTTTGGTATACTGAGCTACTGATTAAAAAAAAGCAGCTAGCAATAGATAATGATAGTATAGCAATATACAAATATAAAGCATTTTTGAATGTACATTTATGGCCAGATTTTATTTCACCAAATAGGCATTTAAATGGACTTAGGGTGCAGACAGAAGTGCCAATTTTCACCTGAACCGACAGCCTCTTCCACCAGGTTATTTCCAATGATTAAGCAGAAAGCCCTGTCTTGCAGCACTGCCTCTGGGAAGAACACTACTACCATCACTAGGGAGAAACAGGTCTGTAGAAAGGATTCTATTGTTTGATATAATTTTAATTTGATTTCCCCTTGTTTTGTGGAATTTACAAGGACCCAAAGCATGCACAGGCAGAGTATGACCTCCACATAGCTCTACCAATGCACCTCAACCTGTTTTGCACTGAATGCTCTTCCCCATTAGTAAAACAATTACTTTGTCCCTGGGTTTCTCACTAACTGCCTTCCAGCTGCCTTGGATTGTCCAAGGTATTTCAGAGTGAAAATAATACATGTTAATGCTTAGCATTTCCAAAACTTTCAGTCAAAAGATCTCAAAGCACTTCACACACATTCAATTTAAACCTGTCCATACTCTCAGGCCATGGTAGGATCAGTATCTTAATCCACATTTTACAGATGAGGAAACTGGACATATGTTGGGGAAGGATAACAGAGAAAAACTATAAGCATAATATTCAGATCCAGGCTTTATTTTTTTGTTTTAATCCCAACCCTCTTTCCCCGACCTGTCTGAGTAAGGATTTTGTTATGAAACATCAATTTATTTTTATTAGCAACATTATTTTCTGTTTATTGTATTTATTTTCCAGAGGTGACAGGGTCACCTGGAGCTTGATCCAAAAAAGGGGAACAGACCCCTACAGTAGGATTTAGGCAGAAGTGAGGCGCTTAACAACAAAGTTACAATAAACTCGTGTGTGTGTTCAGGTGCTGCCTGAAAATGGAGGCGACTGAACTAATTCGGTGCTGCCCTGTTTAGTTACTGAATGCCCCTGGCAACCTGACTTTTGTTCCCTTGTGTCCATAACTACCCTCAGGCTGAGTAGCTAAGTGCTTACTTACGGTTAAACTCAATCGGGATCCAGAAATGAGGTTTTAGTGTCTTGAGATGCCACCTAGGCATCTTCAGGCTTCATGCATACTGACCAGATTGGGTCCCTTCCTTCGAAAATGCTGGAAGAGGAAGTACGGTGCCAATCCTTTACAAAACTACCTGGTGGCTAGTCCACTTGGCCAGGAAGTGGGAGATGTAGGTTCTAGGCCCTACTTGCCTGATGGGGGGCAGATCAACATCCCCAGCCTTCAAGGAGAGGGACCCAAGCACCATCCTAAAAGCTATTCTTGGTGGGGGCAGGCTCCATCTCTCCAGTGACACTGTGTAGCAGCAATGCCAGAAAGAAGCACAAGATAGCATAACTGGAAAGACTAGTGGCTAGGGTACTCACATGGGAAGTTTGGGACCTTTTTTATGGTCGCTATTCCTAAGGCTGTCTGCATAAATCAAATGCAAATGCATACAACAGGCAGGGACCACAATCCAGGACTCCCCTCTCTCCCAGGTGATTGCCCTAATCACAGGCCCACACTAGCCTGCACACCCTTGCTCTGTGAATCACAAATTCCTTTGTGCATGATGACACAGCTTCCACAGGAGGGTCTTGCCTTTTTTCTTCCAGTACCTGTAACATCAACCCCCTGCTGTGTCTATTGTTGCTCTCATTCATAGATCTGTCTTTGCTCCACTTATGCTTTGGCAAGCTAGCATTCATTCCTCAACCCAAAACACATATCAAGGCTTTCCAACTTTCCTGTACAATTATTCTAAGACTAAGACTTTGGCATTACTAGCCAGTGGCATTCCTTCTTTCCTTGGATTGATCATGATCTAACCCAATCATGGAATACAAACTAAATTTTCCTGTCTATAAATTCCACAATAGGTTGGAGTGTAAAAAAACGCAAAGGGAGTTGGTCACTGGCAGCATACTTGGGTTCAGAAGAGGCAGACTATTAAAGTTAGTGGGAAATGTCTCTTGTTACAGCCTCAGAAGTCATTAGTGCCATGAGTACCATAGGTTGATTATCAATATCATTATTTTGAGAGAAAAAGGTTTCATTAAACAGCACATGAGAAGCACACAGTACCCCTCTCCAAATCTTATCTCTAAACATTTCTCACATATATATATATATATACACAGACATATACACACAGTTTGTAAATATGTATGTATAATATATACATACAGATACTATATGCATACACACTCTCCATGCTGTCTGCAGACACGTTCGACAAACAAGATTTTGGACCAAACCCACCGCTGGTATAAGTCCGTGGAAGCTGTGTTTGCTTAGACCCAGGTAGAATTTGGTCCTTGGTTGTGTTTACATCAATTTTACTTCAGATGTCATATGCAAATGGGTTTGCATTCACATCATCTGAAAATACCTGTTAAGAAAATCTAAACTCATTGTCCAGAATCTAGCAAGTGTCACTACAATGGAGTGCAATGGGCAATGGCATGATTCTTACATGCTGTCAAGAGCTGAAAGCATGTGGGTGACTTGCTACAGATCAGCTGTAGTGAAGGAACATTGCTTTTAAGTGTGCCAGTGTGCTTGGGTCCTTAATATTTGTGGAAATGGGGGCCATGCCACACTACTCCTAACACTACAGTGCACAGGTACCACACAGCATACCTTGAGTGTTGGCTGGGAAAAGAAGTTTAACATCAGCTCCCAGTGAGCCCTTCCACGTAGAAGGGTGTATCATTGAGAGAGCTCATGAGGCCAAGGAGACTCGTCTTTCACAAGTGCCATTTTCAGTGGTTTGGTTTCAGCATATAAAGCACGTGTGGCTTCAACATATGTGAGCTATTTTGGAATCTAACACACTAAACTGGCCTTGAACCATACTGACTTTGAAGATACTTCTTTATTTTTTCCTTTTAATATCTGTGTCCTTGCCAGAAGCAAGACCTCTTCTACACAAGGCCCCATGCAACCGCTCACCACAGTTTCGTGGACAATCCATTAACCCCTCCCGTCCCCGGCTCCCAACATCAACAACCAGAGATCACAGAACAAAATGACTGGTGAGCAGCCAGATAACAGTGACACAAAGGACATCATGCAGAGCATTAGAGTGAGCAAGTGATACTGAGGAGGACATCCATTCCTGTGGATACATTATGATGGCTAATGGACTAGAGACTGGTGGTGGTGATCAAATATTTTCCTTGCATTGTAGGAGGAAATGCAAGGAACAGGGGCAGCTAAAAAAAGCTAGGAGGGAGAGGGAAGATGCAAGGTGAATTCCCTTCAATGCAGGCAAAGGTGAAGTCATTGTAACAGATATAGAACAGAAATCATTGTTCGTCAGTAAAGGCTTAACTGCAGTTGAGAACAAGGATGAAGGTTCTCTCTAAAGGCTGACACCCTCATCTTAAGCCAGACAGGTCAGTGCTTACCTTAGACTACATGCCATATATTTTCATGGTCTAACACTATAAGCAACTCACTTGGCCATTCTCACATACTTGCAAATTAAAAACCAAAATGTTGGCTTTAATTTTTAAGCAAATATATTGCTCCCATGTCAACGTGGCCACAACCTAGCAATTTCTGCATTTAGGTTGATAAAGGCTGTGTCCTAGTTTGTCTCTGCAGCAAACAGGTGCCTCTTAATGACTTAAATTCCTTAGTGCTGTCTTGTAGGTAGAGGTTTTCACAGGTTGATATTTCTGGCTCTTGACATTAAAAGGAAGCTATTATACAACCAAAACTGACCTCCATAATCTACGCTGACTACACAGAAGAGGTTTTAAAATACTGTATGTCCTACAAGAAAAGGTAATTTTTGCAGGATACCAACAGACTTCACCTTGCAGGTCAAGCAGAGCGAAACGTGAAGACTCCAGGATTGGAGTGCTAAGCGTAGAACTTGATCAACTGGTTTGCAAATGCATTAAAAATAGTATCATTTGTTTACAATGGATAGTTTTCCTAGACTGATAATTGGGGAAGGCTGTCCACCACAGCAATAAATACTCACTGTTTACGGTACCTGCTAGTGCATTAATATTATTCAGTCCAACAGTGGCTCCAGCCAGTCCTTGAAGAGTACCCAGAGAAGTCAAAGAATTCATGGCCGCACCAGCCGTGGAATTAGCAGTTGACGCAGCCACTAAAGGGGAGAGTAAGGCAAAAGTGAAGTAAGCAGAACTCAAATTGAATTTGTCACAGATCATCATGCATTAGGTTCTAGTCTTCACAACAAAACTCCTTGCAAAACATAAGAAATCAGACCAATGCTGCAGCCTTATTACTCAAGAAGGTATCGATGGTGGACAGGATGGGCTGCTGACTTTTTTGGCCCTAATGATTTCGATGATAAAAGTTGAGTAATTTGGCATTCTTTGCAAAGTAGTGAAACACTAAGTAAGTAAAAAAAAAA